TTCTGCCTTTTTGGTTAAAAAAAAAATTATGTTAGAGAGAAGTTTCTCTCCAGGTTATTTGATTGTTGTTGTTATTATTGTTGTTGTAAATTTTCATAGATTTCCAACCATCTTCGTTTAAGGCTGCTTATCCCTGGTCAACTCACTTCTAAGTTATTTTTCACCTCTCACAGAATTAACAAGATCAACAAAAACAAAAATCATCCATAAATAGTTCTTTCACCCCAAATGCATAAAATGTTTATTAATGAATCAAAAACAGATCAAGGAGAAAATTCTCCTTGATTTCCCTCAGTCTCCAGTATCATGAGCATCCATCCTTGGAAATGGGTGATGACCGGTAAGGATTTTAACAACTCACTCCACTTTGTTTCACACCACACTGCTCAGCTTTTCCAAAAGGAGAGCTGTAAGTTAATTCCCGTGCTGCATGCCTGCTACGTCGCTTCAGTCAAGTCTGAGTCTCTGAGACCCTATGGACTGTAGCCCTCGAGGCTCCTCTATCCATGGAATTTTCCAGGCAGCAATACTGGAGTGGGTTGCCATGCCCTCTTCTAGGGACTCTTCCCAGCTCAGGGATCCAACCTATGTCTCTTATGTCTCCTGCATAGGCAGGTGTGTTCTTTACCACTAGCACCACCGGGGAAGCCCAACTGGATTCCTAGGACAGGCTTTAAATCTGATGCCAGTTGTGTTGTAGAAATGTATGGTATGGGATTTATGATTTTTAAAGAGTGCAATAAACATTGTAAATGAAAACAAAAGTGGGAGTCTTCCCTCCTAGACTCATTATCATTTTATTTCTTACTATTTGCTGTAGGACCGCACATGTCAAGATGACCTTGGTCTCCATCCTTAGGAGCGCACGAGATGTCCAGTGGTTAATGTGGGAGTGAAGCACTGGTAACCATGGAACATGCTGGTTGGAGAATGTGAGATGCGGTGCCCCAACACAGGGGCCCCTGATGCCCTGTCTTTGGGATTTTATTTTACTATTTTATTTATTTGCTTGGCTGTGCCATTTCTTAGTTGAGGCATGTGTGATCTTCAGTTGTGGCATGAGGGATCTTGGAGTTTTGGCTTGTAAAGTCTTCAGTTTCAGGATGTGGGATCTTTAGTTGCAGTATGTGGGATCTACTTCCCTGACCAGGGGTCAAACCCAGGCCTGCTGCATTGGGGACACAGAGTCTTAGCCTCTGGACCACCAGGGGAGCCCCCAGACTTGGGATTTTAGGCAGCAATGGTTCCCCAGAGTCATATTTCCCACGGAAAAAAAAGCTGGAAAGTGTGCTGGGTGCAGAGCCTAAGAACTAGCAGTGAGCGCAGAGCATGGCACGTTCCATGCGTTTCGCAGGACATGATGCCAGTTTGGAAGGCTGGGGCAGGGGCAGGCAGGAAGGAAATGCTGATGGTGGAAATGAGGCCAAAGCTTCAACCTCCTGTCCCTGAGGTCTGCCGTGGTGCCCATCTGAGCTCAGTGTTGGAATAACTATCAGGTTTGTGTGCATGTCCTGGAAGAAGAAGTAGCAAGGATAATCGGAAATTTCGAGGACTCAGGATCATGAAGGGAACTGAAGTCCAGAGAGTTTCCATCAGCCAGAGCACATCTGCGGGATCCATGTGTTGGCACATGCTCAGGTGTGGGGCCGGGGCCCCCCGTCTCCTCCCACCCAGGCCCTGCTGAGGCCATCAGGTTTCCCCGGGTCCCCAGGTTTCCGGAGTTGCCGCTCCTCCCTCCCCAAGGGTCACCTGTAATGCTTGGCCAGGTGAAGCCACCTGGAAGACTTCCATTTGCCACGTGGGAGGTCTCCTGTCCCTTCTATGCCAGGCCTATCTGGGAAGCTGATCCCTGCAACCTTGCAGGGCATTCTCGGGCCAGGGAGAGGGTTGCACCCTCCTGCCAGGCTGCAGGTGGCCTGTTTCTGCCTTACAGATGTAGAGCTCTCGGGCAGTCTTGGTGTTTAATTGCTCACTCATGTCCGACTCTTTGCAACACCAAGGACTGTAGCCCACTAGGCTCCCCTGTCCTTGGGATTTCCCAGGCAAGCATATTGGAATGTGTAGCCATTTCCTCTTCCAGGGGATCTTCCTGACCCAGGAATCTTTCCAAGTTTGACCCCACAGAATCAGACTTCTGTTTTCAGCGCTGCAAAGCCACTGTCCCCACAGTCACTGCAGGGCTTTGTCTGTGGCGATGGGGAAGCAGGATTCCGGAGGCGTGTCTGGGAGTTAGGACTGGCCGGCAAGCCCCTTCCCGACACCTCAGGTTCCTGCTGGGATGGAACCCTGCCCATTGTTTCTACTTGCAAATATATTATTTTCTGAACTTTTCAGAAGAGATGAGGAGTTGTGTAGAATGAAACAATAACTTTATAAATAATGGGGATTTTTTTAAAGAGCGCCCAGTTCCATGATGAATTTTCAGCACACAGACAAGCGAAACCGTGTTACCTGGGCAGACAGGTAGGAGACAAGGGGCCAGGTGTGGCACGAAGCGGTGAAGTGACTGTGCTGGCTGTGGGCTCTCACTCTGGTGTTTAGCTCTGGACTTGTGCTGAGGGGACTGACAGAGGAAGATCTGCCAGGCAGAAGTTGCTCCATTTTGAGTGACCAGGAAGTCCCAGAGTGGGTCATTTTTTTTCCAAAAAGAAGAAAAAGGATTTGGTGGCCCAGACTGTGGTTCTGCCTTAGCACAGACTAAAGCTCAGAGTCTCCGAGGTATGTGCACACTCTTGTAGATTCCCCCGGTCCCGCCCAGAGTTAGCAGGAGCTGAAGAATACAGGGATGGACAGGACGTCGTCAGTAGGTGCCAGAAGTGCAAGGGTTTGCAGAGAGGGGAGAAAGGCATGAACTCAGCATTGCGGGAATGGAGACGAGCTGGAGACCCTAAATCACACTTTGAACCCGGCACACCCCCTAACCTCAGAGGGGCCACTTTCACAGCTCAAGTCAGAACTGCCTCGGAGCCACAGCCAAACCTGCACGCCCACGAGAAAACATAGATTCTGCTTCCAGGCCATCTGCACCTCTGGTGGCGTAGTGGTGAAGAATCTGCCTGCTGATGCAGGAGACACGGGAGACGTGGGTTCGATCCCTGGGTCGGGAAGATCCCCTGGAGGGGAAGCAGCAATCCGCTCCAGGATCCTTGCCTGGAGAATCCCATGGACAGAGGAGCCTGGTGGGCTACAATCCAGGGGGTCACACAGAGTCGGACATGACGGAGCACACGCACCCACGAGCAGGGATGCACCTGGACAGAGTTCTAGGTTGAAAAGTGACTTCCCAGATTCATGTTCACAGGGAACCTTAGAAGGTGACTCTTCTAAAAATAGGGTGTTTGCAGATGTCAATAGTAACGCTGAGCTCACCCTGAGTTACATGAGTCCTAAACCCAAGGTCAAGTGTTCTCTAACAGACACCGCGTAAAGACAGAGGCAGAGACTGGGGTGCTGTGTCTACAGGCCGAGGGACTCCAAAGGTCTCTGACCTTCTCCTCAGGCACATCCCAGCCCAGAAGGTTAGCATTTCCCTGTCTTGCCAGGTGGTAGTCATTCCCTGGACTCCACATTCCAAGATGACCCCACCCCAGAATTACAGTAAAACTCCGTGACCTCCCCCAGCATGCTGGCCCCATGGATGGTAAGTTCAGGAATTTAGGAAACCCTTCCTTCTCCCAGCAATGCATGGCTTTCAGGTCCATCACTTGCTGGGGACTCACAAATCTTCTCTGCCAGTCAAGACTGAAAAACGACTTTGTTTTCCTAGCTGGTATGCCTGGCCTTTTCTCAGAGCTCGAAAACCACTGTTTCCATAGGCAAGGAGCCTGAAAACAACAGGATTTATAGGTTATGAAAATACATCTGAAAATATGTTTTAAAATATTATCCCTGTTCCACAGTATGGGTGTTGGTGAGGCAGGCCTGGGTTGTCTCCTGAGTCAGGCAACGTTTGAGATGCTTTCATTCCTGAGGTTGCTTTGCGTTTGTGCCCTTTGTCTGTATTTGTCTGGGAACCTAGCAAAAGGGAAGGTCAAGGCAAAGATGAACCAGGGGAAGGGTGTGAGGTAGAGAGAGAGAGAGGAGACTCCTCAAAGCCCAGAAATTTGTAGAACCACAAAAAAGCTCATGGCAAAGAGGAACCAGAGAAAGAGTGATGATGAGGAAGACAGAAAGAGAGAGAAGAGACCCCAGAATGCCCAGAAATATATAAAATTATAAAAAAGAAATCACATTTATTGGTGGCTCAGATGGTAAAGAATCTTTCTGCAATGTGGGAGACACAGGTTCCATCCCTGGGTCATCAAGAAGATTCCCTGGAGGAGGGAATGGCAACTCACTCCAGTATTCTTGCCTGGAAAATCCCATGGACAGAGGAGCTGTGGGCTACAGTCCATGGGGTCGCAAAGAGTTGGACACAACTGAGTGACTAACACACACACGAAAAACAATTGGGCTGATGTCGGTTCTAACTCTGAGGAGCAGCGAAAAGTCAAAAGGTTCCTGCCCTAGTTCTCTGCCTCTGCCAAGTGATCTTAGAGGAGGCCAGCCCTCGCATATAGAACCCTTGGCAACAGCAAACAGCATTTGGCATGTTACTTCATTTACTATTTGTTCTTTAAATGATTCTTCATGATGTTTACACCTGAAGACTGTGGAATAATGCAATTGTTCATGATACTATTGATTGTCCTCGCAATAAATGAGGTTACGTGATTTTTCAGGAAATTGGCAATGGACTGACTTGGGTCATAAAGGCATTTTGATGTCATTTTAAGACACCGAGCAGAGGTTCTGCCTTCTCTGAGCGAGGGTTTTTTAGTTCTCTAAAATATTACCAAGGTCTGGTGGCCTCACGTTAGTAGAAATGCAGTGTCTTCCAGAGAGGAGCTGGCATTTGCAAAGTTCTCAGCCAGAGGGGGTTAAACTAGACAGAGTCGCCTGTCCCTTTCAACAACACACGACCCCGGAGGTCTGCAAATGTAATCTGCAGCCTCCCTTACCAGCTCTGCTGGCTGCCAGCAGCACGTCCTCACACAGAAGTACCATCAGCCAGCTTCTTTGATTCTCGCAACTTAGAAAGCTAAAACTAAAAATATCCTTCGTCTGCTCAATATCCAAAGGGGGGCTCTTTTTTTTCCCCTTTTATGTTGTGGGTTGTTGTCGTGGGAGTGAGTCAGTAAGGAAAAGACAATTCTGGTGTCCGTGGTTCTGCAGATTTCGCCAGCCTGGTTGGGCGCGTGAGTGAGCTTCTGCTTAACAAGACCAGCCACTTGTGAGCAGGGAGGACACGGCTCTGACCACCTGGGAAGCAGACTTGGATCCGTGGGGCACCTGGGGGCGTGGCCCCGTCTGTCCCCACTGCCCGCTCCGTACCCACACCCTCTGCCCTTGCTGCCGTTCCCTTTCCCTTGGGAAAGCCGGGTCTCCAGAGGCCAGGCCGGGGGAACTTCCCCCTGGGACAGCAAAGTCCCAGGAGCTTGGGCCGGATGGATGCTGGATGACGGTGGCCCTGCTGGCTTGTGGCCCTTTCATGCTCTTCTCTGCCATCTCCTTCCCTTCTGGAAGCTTCTTCCATGTTAAGCAGGCCCTTGAGATGGTGCCCAATGGCTCTGCCTCCAGGCTCCCACCCACGCTTCCCCTAGTGATGGGAGCCCCTCTGGGGGACCCCTGATTGGGGTCAGTGCATGTGTCTTACCCACACCTGGCACCGGAGATGCCGACTGCTCAAGCTACGGTCGCGTTAAATCCTGTGTCCCCCGCTTGCCCCTGGGGTTGCTTTCCGTCCACCCTTCCCTCCTGGCTCCTCCCCGGGGTCCCTGTCGGCACGGAGCTGCTCCTCCCCAGGAAGCCTAATTAATCAGTCCACTAATTAGTGGCAAAAAGCAAAACCCGCATTTTAGGTTTGGTTTATGCGTTTTCTTCTTCTGTGACCACGACTGGGAAAATCAGAGGCTGTGTGATCTGGAGCCCCCAGACGACAGAAACCTTTCCAGAGGGCTCTGGGCAACGTGACTCATGTTTCTGCGGGCTGCCTGGCTCCCACAGCCATTCATGTTCCCTTCAAAAGCACTGCCTCTCCATTCCCGGGATGAACTTTCTAGTCGGCTTTGATGAAGACCGTTCTGACCGACAGGCAACCACCCGCTTTATTTCGTAGAGCGTTTCCGAGGGAGGCGCCCACCCTGAGGTTAGTCGGCCACTTTGCTACAGACACTAGTCTTGGTCTTGGGGGCATTGCTGGGTGAGTGGCCCAGACCCTGGTTCTGCTCAGTCGTGTGTCACGGGGGCTAAAAAGGAACCACCACGATCCGGCCAGGACTGAGGTCCCGGAGAAGTCAGGGAATAATACTACAGAGGCCAGGATTCGGAAAGAAGCTGAAGGCTGACTCTGTGGCTGGCTTTGGGGGAGCTTTCCCTGGGTGTTCCACTATAGCCCTCATCCCGGGGTACCGTTATCAAATGACAAGCCTGAATCAAGCAAGGCCAGGTGGTGCCTGCTGGCCTGAAGGGGGTCCTATCTGAGCTGCATGTGGCTTTGCTTAAAGGTGCCTTGTGGACACACAGGTTCCAACGGCTCCAGGAAGTTTAGTGTGTGAGATGGAAATCTCAACACATATCCGGACAAAGTGCCAGGGCCGCAGGGCAGTGGGCAGCCTCATTGCTACAACGAAAGCCAAGAGCAAGTAGCCAACTAGCTAGAGCTGGTTTCCAACAAAATGAAAACACAGCTTTTTTCCCCTGTAAACTCTTGGAGCTGGGTAAAGGTTATTTCTGGAATCCCACAGAAAGAATCAACAACGTGTTAGACCTTCAGAAATCACCCAATAGTCATTTTAGTGCAGTGGGGTGTTGATGTATCACTTCCAAAGTCTTCTGCTAAGGGATAAGCTTGGGAAGAATAAAAGAGCTTTTCTGAATAACTTTGCCCAGGTGTTTCTCTCTGGGGATGTCCCTACTGGGCTGGGTGAGTTGAATGTCAGAAGCCGATTTGGTGGTTGGAGTCCATAGGGAAAGGAACCAAGTTATTGCAACTTTATATGCATTCAGATGAAAGTAGGTAATAATAATGGCTTACTGTAAAATGAAAACAACACTAATGATTGTATTCATTAGCAAAATGATATTTGCTGGACTAGCATTAGCAGTTATCGAATTGCACACAATAATAGGAATGTGAAATTAATTTCATTGAAGGAATTGAAGAATGATTTATTTACAGTGAATATCCATTCTCTGTGAAACTTCACTGACTCCATTAAAAAAATATATAGCTGTATCCTTCTTAGAATGTGCAACTCAAAACTAAGAGTTCAAAAATTTCCTTATTTTATGTTTGTGTTAAAGCATACTTTTAAAAAATCTCTACCACAGTGCCAATTCATGTGAGGATGTTTTGCAAAAATATGGGACATGACAGTTTAGGTTCTGTGACGTTACTTTGCTTTGATTAGTCCAGTAGCAGAATGCAGTCATTTTTATGTTGCTGGGATGTGATTGGCAGAAAGCAAGCAAGTCCTGAGGGTAGCCCAGTGGATTTTGTATCACCATAAACTCGATTGAGATATGGAACGTTCTAGAACTCCAAGAAAATTCCCACTCCTTTCAGTCAATACTTACACCCCAAGGAACCACTATTCTGACTTCAACAGCCTAGATTCGTTTGCCTAAGTTTAGGCTTCATGGACTTATACGGTGTACATCATCACGTTTCCAGCTCCTTCCATCAACACAACATTTTTGAGATTCGGACACACACCATGTATCAGTAGTTCATTAATTTTTGTTGCCTAATTTCAGTCTTTATATATTTTGCATGAGACTGACTCTGACTAATTGCCATGGAGAAACTGACAGTGAACTTGGTTCACCTCCAATAAGATATGAGCTTGTGGCAGAAAGAGCAGAGGACAGGAAGTTAGGAGATGTCACCCACCGGGGGGCAGGGACCTGAGCTAAATCTCTCGGCTGCTCTGATCTCGGATGCCTGTCTGTGAGTGACCACCAAGGATGCTGACCCAACAGCTTTGCAAGGTCCAGAGGCGGATGAGCTATGAGGGGCCCTGGGGGCAGCTGGGGACACTCTGAGAACACAGCGTCAGGCCGCGTGTCACCCTGGGCCCTCTGGTTTCTAGGGTCTGCTGTTATACCCCGCACCTTAGTCATCATATTTTTAAAAGCCAGATGTATGGTAGAAACCAATACGATATTATAAAGCAATCATCCTCCAGTTAAAAATAAATCAAAAAATAGAAGAAAAAGAAAAAATAAAATTAATTCTCAAAGTTAAAATAAAACAAAACAATTCTGAGCTCTGGTTGCAAAATCTAACTTTCATTTCTTGCTGCAAACACACGATTTTCAGCCTCCCAGTTTGGACATGCTGCGCATACACACGAAGAGACCCCCCTGCCCCTTTCATTGATGTAGTTCTCCATCTCCTCAAAGAGCTTATTATTTTACAGAATTTCTCTTGGGGGCATGAGCTGCAGCAGCCCTCTCTTCTGTATTTATTTATTAATTAGCTGGCTGAGTGGGAAATTGCACCCTTTTCTTATTCATTGTTTTTTAAGGATTTGAGCTGATTATCTAAATAAACAGTGCTCTTAAAATTCTCCCTCAAGTAGAATTGCTAATCCCACCTTATATTTTTGCTAAAATAGTATAAGATTCATTCCCCTTGAATAGTCTATCTTGTTCATTTCACCTTTTCAAGGACTGGCCAAGTCTGGGCATGGATTAAATACCCAAGTCCAATCTCATACCTTCAAGTGTCCCAGAGGAACATGCAAGAAATAAAGCCTGTTTGCTCCGTGGTGAATAGGTGCTCACAGTTTTAAAGAATTGTCCTTCAAGTATTAGCTGCATTCCAAAGCTGCTTTTAAGACAGAAAATAAAATTAAAATTCTACCTGGCAAGTTAAAAATCTTGAAGGCAAAATGACTTGAACATAAGTCCCTGGAAGTTTTCTCCCAGAAAACTGGAAGACGTTACAGTAGTGAAATATTACCTAAGTGTGTGCTCACTTGGATCTGACTCTTTGTGACCCTGTGGACTGTAGCCCGCCAGGCTCCTCTGGCCATGGGATTTCCCAGGCAAGAATCCTGGAGTGGGTTGCCATTTCATTCTCAAGGGGATCTTCCTGACCCAGGGATCGAACCTGTGCCTCTTGCCTCTTCTGCATTGGCAGGTAGACTCTTTACCACTGAGTCATCTGGGAAGCCCAGTGAAATATCACACCTGTCATCAGAACAAAGCAACGCCACTTACCCCTGGCACCGCCAAGGAAGCGCTTTTGATGTACAGCCTTCCCTATTTACGGCTCCTCTGGCGGCTCACACAGTGAAGCTTCTGCCTACAATGCGGGAGACCCTAGTTCAATCCCGGGAGACTCCTGGGTCAGGAAGATCCCCTGGAGAAGGAAATGGCAACCCACTCCAGTACTCTTGCCTGGAAAATCCCATGAGTGGAAGAGCCTGGTGGGCTACGGTCCATGGGGTCACAGAGAGTCGGATACCACTAAGCAACTTCACTTTTCACTATTTATAAAAATCAAAAGGAGAAGAAGCTCCCATCCAAAATGAGATCATGTGTGCTTGCTACAAAAAAGCAGTGCAGTTCTGGCTCGCAAACATTTGGACGATTTCTCTTGAAAGAGTACAGATGACAGGGCCAGCAGGTGCATGGAACTGGATGACAGGAGACACAGTCATCAGACAGCATAGGCAGAAACCGAGGTGTGCGGCCCCCGCAGAGCAGGAGGACCGGCCAAAGGAGGGAGCAGGTGTGGCCCCACCGCCTCTCACCTGCCCTGCGACCCAGCAGGTGGGGCAGAGCCCAGGTGAGACCCCATCTGCCATTGCCCTTTCCTGCCTCCGGGGGACTCTTCCTTAGGGTGGGCTCTGCCTGCTGAAGACTCTATCACAAAAGTAACTAGGGAAGACAGGGAGTTTGGATGCCCCAGGACCTGTGAATAAATAGATCGTGCATTTATATTTATTAATTAGGAAGAAAATCTGCTGAAATGACCTGATGACACTGGGTGTAGTCACCTATTAAGCAATGAAATGATGAGGAATTATTGAGTTCTGACTGAATGTTGAATCATAATGTTCATCTCTCATTCGTGTTCTACTCTGCCACTCCATGGACTGTAGCCTGCCAGGCTCCTCTGTTCATGGGACTCTCCAGGCAAGAATACTGGAGCGGGTAGCCGTTCCTTTCTCCAGAGGAAGATCTTCCTGACCCAGGGATTGAACCCAGGTCTCCTGCTTTGCAGGCAGAGTCTTTATCGCTGAGCCGCCAGGGAAGCCGATAACCTGATGATCCTATAACAAGTCCAAACAGAGAGCCTGAATCCTGAGGCCTGACTTCCTTAAGAACCAAAGTCCTCGTCAATCCCCAGCCAAGTCCAGGGTTAGAAGAGGCAGCCCAACTGTCTCTATCTGATGCAGGGAGTTCGCTCCCTTCTATACTCTGCACCGCCAAGTCCACAAGCCCGGTTTCCTGGCCAGAACACAAAGTCTCCCATTGCCAGGTTCTGCTGTCTCCCCGTCCTCCTGGTTGTCATAAGCACCATTCTAGAAGCTGCCATTGAGAACTGATTTCTGAGACTCCCCATCAACATGCTTCTTTCATCTGCTGAAGCAACAGGAAAATTCATCCAGTGAAATGAGAGCCACTCGCCTGATTCTCCACCCACAGTCCAGTCCTAGCCCCATCCTTTTGAGACCTGACTACATCATCCTGCTCTTGTTGGCTGGATCCACCAGTACGTGTCTGCATTTCTAGGTTAGAGCTGGGAACCTGAGCAAACGTCCAGCTTCTGGAAGTCTGCCTTTGATAACGCGCCCAGCCTGGCCAGAGGAGGAGATTCTGGGGTAATCACTAGAAGCCTGTTTTCACGCACCACAAAATTCAAGTGAAGAGCTGGGCTTCCATTATCAGATGCCTGCCCCAGCAGCATCAGAGCCGTGGGCACTTAGTAACCTCCGGGTCAATCCTGAAGTGCCAAGGCAGCCTTGCCCCCAGATAGCTGCATTCACCAGGCATTTCCATCGAGCTGCAGGTACTGGTTTTCCCCTTTATTACAGCACATGGGTAATAAGAGGCAGAACAGCACAATCTTAGGAAGGAGTGGATCACGCTGATGACTGAGAAACAGTTCCATTTCTCCTGAAATGCTGAATCTCTAAATGCAAAAGGGATAGACTTGTGTAACCTTCTCTGCCCTCACCAAGTTACACAACACAGTTAAAAGACCGTAAGATTTTAATGGAAAACGAGGCAGGAGCTGTTACAAGAATTTCCGTACTGGGAGCTGCGACCCGGGATGCATCCCCAACCTCACCTGGGCCTCTGTTTCCGAGGAGGCTTTTGGGGCGACCCTCTCCCTGGGCCCCGTGGGCTGCTGTCACTTCCCCTTTGTTCCTGTTGTCACTAACGTTGCTTAATGGCCCTGTTCTATGGGACTTACATTTCTCCAGCGGAGAAACAGGCCTGGCTCTCCGAGGCTGGAGTTGGGGGAATTTGCTTTCTGGCCGAGACCCCAGGGTGTGGGGGGGCAGGGGCACGCGTGCTGTGATGGGACCGAATGTTCTGTACATTTTTTTTCTAAATGGATGTTCAATATTTTAAGTGGCACATCAGTGACTCTGGGGTACGCTTATCCAGTTCACTCCATCAGCTTCAATAAATGCCAAATTAAAAAGAGAGGAAAAAAAAAAGAGGAAGAAGGAAACAGCATGTGCTTGTGTGTGTGTGAGAGAGAGAGGAAGAGAGTTCAAACTTCTGAATGAAAAACAAAAGGCATCAACCGGTCAGGGCTAGAGGAAGCACCTCTAAAGAGAAAGGCAGGCACACTACGGCTAAAGGCTGACCTTTAACTGCCTCCAGCCACTGATGCCCCAGGAAGGGCATCTCCTCTGCCTCTGAGCACACCCCTCCCACCATTGGCTTTGCCTTCATATTTTCTGTGTCTTTTTGGTGAGCAGAGCGACAACCCAGGGGTCATCATCCGACCCTGAAATCCTGCCGCTTTACAGGACGTGGGGAGAGGACTTTGCAGAGGTGATGAAGTGACCGATGTTGCCATGAGGGTTGATTTTGGATGACCTGGGTGGACCCAGTGTAATCACAAGTGTCCTCACAAAACGAAAGAGGTCAGAGGGTCAGGGTGAGAGATATGAGGACTGAAGCAGAGGATGGAGTGATGTGGGGCCACCCGCCAAGGGATGCAGACAGCTTCTAGAAGCTGAAAAAGGCCACAGGAAGGACTCCATCCAGAAGCTTCTGGAAGGATTTTTGCCCAACCCACACTTGGACTTCAGCCCCTTGAAACTTATCTCAAAATTCTGACCTTCGGAACCGTAGGAGAGTATTTGCATGCTGCTTTAAGCCTGTAGATGATATTAAAGAATATTCTAGAAGCCCAGGGAACGCCCCATCTTGACTTGGAGAACGCAAACACACATGCATGAATGAGAGACTGATTCCAGAGGAGACCCAGCAACAGAAGCGAGGTCCCAGGTATCAAAACCAAAGCCCACAGGTGGAGACACGCCTCAGGGTTTGCCTTGGGGGAGGGTGGGGGACGGGTTCAGCTCTGCTCCTCAGGGCACACAGGGTCCCCCTCCCCGCTCGTCCCCCCAGGAGCTCCCCAGCTGCAGCAGGCGTGCCCAGCCCATCTTCTCTCTACCCTTCACGGGCTTGGAAGTCCCACCGCCCACTGCGACAGAGGCGGGTCCAGGTCCCAGAAATGTCCGAATGCCCGGGGCTGCCTGGGTTCCACGGGGCAATGCAGATCTTTCAAACGTTTCTAAATGGAATCTCTGAGCAGGGTGGGCTTCCCCGCAACCAGGGCCAAACCGGCTCTTGTCGGCCCACATTGTCAGAGGAAATCCGCCCCCCACCCCATCTGTCAGGAGGGAAGAGAGGAGGGCTCAGTTCACGGAGTTCATCCAGCGGGGGCCCCTCTCGTGAATTTAAGACTCGAGTCGGATCGGCACACGAGACGGACCAGCCAGGCCGCAGGCTCCGCCCACCAGCTAGCACCCCGCCTGCGAGCCGGAAGCGGGCGGGGAGGAGGCTGAGAACGGGCTTCCGGAAGCGGGCGGGGAGGAGGCTGAGAACGGGCTTCCGGTTGTTTCCGGGACCGCGCACACGCCCTGCTCTGCTCAGTTAGAGCAGTCCTGAGACCCCTCGGAGGGAAGTGTAGCGCCAGTCGCTCAGTCGTGTCCGACTCTTTGCCGTCCCCTGAACTGCCAGCCCTCTGTCCACGGGATTCTCCAGGCAAGAACAGTGGAGTGGGTTGCCTTTCCCTTCTCCAGGGGGTCGTCCCCACCCAGGGATTGACCCGGGTCCTCTGCACTGGCCGGCGGATCCTTCACCCTCTGAGCCGCCAGGGACGCTCTCTTAACCCTGCACGCTAGATTGCACCGTGTCTTCTCCCCCCAGCCTCTCGTCCGTTTCTTGGCGTCCGCCTCCACAACGCCTGCTCTCCCCACAGCTCTTCTGATGGAGGCACCTGGGATCGCCTCTTCCTCCGCGATCTGTCGGAAGCTCAGCCAGCAGCGTGGATTTTGCCTCCTGCTTTCGGACCCAGGGAGGGTGGGGGCACGCTGGCTTCATGCCTGAGTCCCCAGTCGTGTTGTGGTCTAGCTGGGAAGCCCAGGTCACAGGACAGCGTCCAGTGACCAAGACAGGGGGGGAGACGCAGAGCGAGCTGGAGGCCCCCGCGGGGAGGGTGGAGGACAGGGGGCGCCGAAAACGAAATGCGCCTGTTTGGTCTCCAGTCTGTCCTAGCTCATCCTTAGAGTAAAACCACGGCCTCAGCAAGTAGGCAGCCTTCTGTCCCACGTGGACCAAGAGTCAGGAGACACATCACACCCCAGACGACCTTGGGCAGGAGAGCCCGAAGCAGCCACCATCAGCTCCCCCACTCAGATGCCGGCACCGCTCCGGGGCAGGATGTCTGCACCCACCAGCCTCAGCTTGGAGGCATCGGCGGTGGGCCCCCCAGGAGAACAGAGCCGGGACCCAGCAGGCTGGCTCTTGGCTCCGGGACCCGTCGCAGAGGCTCATTTGATAACATTATCAATTTCTCTCCTCCAGCATGGGCGACGCTGAGAGCAACTTTTGCAGGAGGCGAGGATCCACCGTGGGGCCCGCTCTGCACACCGAGCATAGGAAGGAGCATTTACCATTCACCCTTTGATGTTTTCCAAACGGCCTGCATAGCGGCTGTCAGCACGAGGAATTATTTTATTACATTTTCAGATGTAACCGGGAAAGCTCGTTTGGAGCCACTGTTTGGATGTTAAAACAGTGTAGGCTGATTTTCCATAACTGGGAACAAATTGATCCCAGCGAACACAGCAAGAGGAAGTGCCCTGGGCACAGGCCGGCCAGCCAGGGAGGGTGGTCATCATGGCTGAGCCCTGGGGAGTGGGCAGGAGCAGCCCTCCCCACCACCTGCATGCAGGAGAGCCCCCTCCTCCTCACCATCCTGGCCTCTCCCCTTTAAGGACGAGGGTCCAGGCTGGGGCACGACTTGGAGGCAGAGGCAGGAAGAGGGGACTGCAGAGAATGGCAGCTCCTCCATCTTGGTGCGTGGCACCAGTGCCTGGGTTTCTATAGCGACAGCCAAATATTTGGGTTGAAAGGCACCCCTTTTAGCTCCCCGAGAGTAAGTCATGTAAGTCATGGTCCACCTTCTTGGCTCATCAGTGAATGAAGCCCCTCGACCCTCCACAAACACAGCTCTGAGCATTTAATGAGAAAATGCCGAGCAGGAGACCGGAGGCCATGCTTCAGTGTGCGTGTGCAAGCACGTGTGTGTGTTTGCGTGCAAGGGCCACATGTGCAAATGCACCAAGGTATGTGTGACCTCACGTGCTTGTGAGTACACGTGTCTGTGCGCATCTGTGTCTGTGTGAACTCGGCCATGTGTCTCTGTGTGCTTGCACGTGTGTACTCCTGGGTTGGCACACGCACTTGGCAACCTGAGCAGGGGAGAAACGGACGATGCCCCCGCATCAGGCCATTGTTTACGCAGGAGAGCACGAAGCAGAGCCCCTGAGCCGTTCCTCCTGCGCAGAAGATGCACAGAAGGGCCCAGAAGCCAGGAGTCTGGCCCACATGCAAGCTCAGAGTGAAGCTTCACGCAGGACAGGACAGGCATGGAAGCTACGCCCGCACCCAGCCAAACCCAGAGGAGGAACTGGGAGATGGTTAACAAACCCCACAGCCCCGAGGACATTGTCTTACCCAACAGCTCGGCACAGAAGGGAGTTTAATTCTCGCCTCCTTGAAACACAGGAGAGCAGGAAGCTTGCCAGCAAGGTCCTGAAGGGAAGAGGAAGGAATGTATCAACCGTAATTACCAGAAAGAGGATGTGCATACTGCATTCTGCTAAACTCGCAGTCGACTAGAAGAATCAAAAGAGTCGCCTAAGGTAAAAAAAAAAAAAGTCTACATTTGAGGTGTGAATTTAACTGCCAAAAATCAAATGGAAGATTAGAAGGAACAGTTTAGTCGTCGGAGAGCTTACGTTTTCAAGGAAAGCTTTCTGAGCGAGAATGACCACTGAGAGTCAAAAGTCGAGGGGAGACACCGGAAGTGTGGCTTTGGGGATTCGCTCCTTCTTGGAAGGAAGGGGGCTCTCTGCTGCATAGAAGGAAATGAGGAGGGGTCTCCTCACCGAGGACATCTTTCCACATTGAATCTGCCTCATGGACCGCCTTTGCCAACAGAAAATGTCTCATTGAGACTCATCTTGATGCTGGGCTTGTCACGGCAGCCTGAAAGCTACACATAAATTATCAAAATACCCTTTGAACACTGGTCCATTAGAAGCTTCAAAGAGAATCTGGAATGTCATGGAAGAGCGGGAAATTACCTAAGACCAGGGCGGGTGGAGAGCAGGCTGGATCTTCACCCCGTTAGACTTACATGCTTAATCACAAATTCGTGCACTTAGTGAGAGGCAGGCGCATCTCGCCCAACGAGACGAAGGGCTGTTTTGTGAACATGAGTTCGAGATGCAGACCTGCGCCTCCCACCGGGTCCTCAGGGGACCGAGTGCTTGTCTCTAAACAGACGGAGGGTGTTTTCTCCTTCGGGTCTTGACCCTGCTTCCTGCTGTCCGTGGAACCTGCATCGGTGTGCATGGATGGATGGGGAGTGCCATGGAGGTGGGCCCGCCTCACCTTCAGCTCCAGCAAATTTGCATGAAGCTGATTATTGATTGATGGCTGGTCTCCCGGCAGAGCACTTCTCCACTTGGCGAGCTCATTCCTTGTCTTGGATGGAGGTGCACATGCAGAGAGCAGCGGAATGGGAAAAGCGCCGGGAAATTGCTCCTGTTCCTCCAATTTCCTGCAGGGGCTGGCGGGCGAGATGGCTTCGGGCGACCCTTCAGGCAGCGCAGCCTCTCTGGGAAGGTGTTGGTGACCTCGGGGTGAGTCTGGGGGGCTGTGGATGAGGTGAGAGCCTCGGAAGCAGGAAGCAGAGTTGGGCTGGCAGCTTCCCCGAAGGAGAAAGAACAGGGATGCAGAGGCCTGACTGTAAATGTACAAAAATCATGGATTACCCTGTGGAAGATTTTTGCCTCTGGTTTTTCCCCTCTTCACCACTGCCGATTGGGGGGGACAACTGGCTCGGGTTCTGCTGGGCTCTCTGTGGTCAGATGCACTGGGCTAAAATGCAGAGCAGACGGCAGGCAAACCTAGGACTTGTGACCTGAGGGTAGTGACTGAACCTGGGGAGAAGTCAGAACCATGACCCAAGGCCCCTCTGTCCTCCCATGCCCCTCACCCATTCCCAAGCCAACAAGCCAAGTTCTTGACCCACGTCAGACACTGGCTGATGTGGTGAAAAACCCGCCAGATTCATGCAGATGTCTCTGGTGAGTCCAACTCTTAATGTGATGAAGGACACAGTGCAGAGGCTGGAGACAAAGTCTGCGAACACTCAGTGGACCACTGCCCACCAGCCACCATGGATCTCAGAGCACAAGGGGACCTGAACTGAATACTCCCACACTCAGATGCAAACCATTATCGTCCTCATCCTTTTATTGTTATTACCAACTTGTAAGCTGTCTTTTCCTGGGTTCCTGGAGTATTTGTTGTTTTTGTTGAGTCGCTCAGTCCAGTCGTGTCTGACTCTTTTCAACCTCAAGCCTAGCTCCCCACCAGGCACCTCTGTCCGTAGGATTTTCCAGGCAAGAATACTGGAGCGGGTTGCCATTTTGCTCCTCCAGGGGATCTTCCCGATCCAGGGTCGAACCCGCATCTCTTGAGTCTCCCGCATTGGCAGGTGGAGTCTTTACCACTGAGCTGCCAGGGGAGCCCTTCATGGAATATAGTTTAGAATTAAATAAACGATAATAGTGACCGATAACCAGAAAGTTGGATGTATTGACTAGCTGCCAGCATTAGTGAATAAGGGAAAGTTAAGAATATTAAGCATTCTAGTTAACACTGTGATCTACTACAATATTAGATAATGTATCTCATATAATATACATGAGTATATTCCCCTCATGAATTAGAGCATAGTAAATTATGGCAGCAAATTGCACGTTGCATAAACTAAGCATAAGTGCACCATTCTCTGATGACTCAGAGCCATTCAAGACTCAGAGTTGAAGATTAAAAACAGAAAGAAAACAAGACTTGAAGAGGCACTGGTAGATAAAACCTTTCTGAAAAGCAATTAGGCAACAGCTAACAGGAACTCTGAAACAGTCTCATCTTTTGATACAGCCATTTGTTTAATCTCCAGGGATCTTGCCTGGGGAAATAATAAAAAGTATGGACCAGGCTGCATAAAGATTTAACAGCATCATTTATATAGTGAAAAGTTAGAAATACTTAGAGTCAACAACCTGTTACGTCTACTAAATGGAATACTATACAGACACTAAAAACCATGCTTCCACAAGCATTCTTATTTTTTAATATAATTGTGTTCACAATATAATAGCGTGAAATGCACTTACTGCATGTGGAGTGTAATCCCAATTTTGTTACATAAATAGACAACAAAGCAGTTTGTTTATGTGCCTGTGTATGTGTGCTTTCTTTACCACAATTTGTGTATTTCTCAAATGTCTATGATAATCACATATTATTTATGGAAAATAGTTCTCAAGGTATTATTACTTTTCATTTTTAGAATTTTTGCTTTAGGCATGAAATATTTCAAACAAAAGAAAACAGAAAATAAAAATATTCACTTTCACATCACCCAAGTTTAACATGTATTATCTTATTTAGCCAGAAATATAAGGATGATTTAATTTTATCAAAACTGTAAATACTGTTCACCTCACAAGTTACAGGAGAATATCTCTGTCTATCTGTCTACCCCTCTCCCTAGAAACAGACTGAAAAATTCAACTAAATTCCACACCCACTCCAGATTCAAAAAGGCAAACTTGTAATAAATTAAGAACTAAATGCCAAATAGACAGCCAAAATTTGACACCAAAATTAATACTCGAACCTGAGCAGTTACTCTGCAATCTTGTCTTGACATTGACTTGATAGAGATTCCTTCTTTTGTAGTTAAAGTTCAACATCCTAAAAGAGGTTAAGTGACTTCTCCAGTTTCTTTATCAATGTGATCAGTGGCTCAGTCACGTCCCACTCTCTGAGGCCCGATCGAATGTAGCCCCCAGGCTCCTCTGTCCATGGAATTCTCCAGGAAAGAATACTGGAGTGGGTTGCTATTTCCTACTCCAAGGAATCTTCCCAACCCAGGGATCAAAGCCTCTTCTCTTGCATGTTCTGCATTGGCAGGTGGATTCTTTACCATTAGCACCACCTGTTTAGAACAACCAGTAACCCCTCCTGCAGTGGCATGGACAATGCCCACGTGATGGTGGTCAGGAGAGAGATTCTGTCTTGCTGCTGCTGGGTTGTGGCACTGAGAAGACTGCCAGATACAGAGAAGGTGTTCAGTTCAAATGTGAGATCAGAGACGTCTCTTCCTTCCATTGAGGATGATGCTGGTGACATTAATTTATTCATTGTGCACTAATTGAGTGCCCCCTCTGCACCAGACACTTAACAAGTATTGATACGCTTTAGTTTTTCATAAACGATTTACCGCTACTAAAAACATAACGAGTCATATCAAACTGTTCTGAAAATATCAATGCAATAGAGATAACATGAAAAACAGAAAGAAAGGGATAAAGTTGCTGTCATTGGCAAATAATGATTATGTTCCCGAAAGAGTGAAGAAAAGCAACTGTTAATACCAATAGAAGCAATAAGATAATTTAATTCAAATCCTGGGTGTTCATTGGAAGGACTGATGTTGAAGCTGAAACTCCAATACTTTGGCCACCTGATGTGAAGAGCTGACTCATTTGAAAAGACCCTAATGTTGGGAAAGATTGAGGGCAGGAAAAGAAGAGGACGACAGAGGATGCAATGGTTGGATGGCATCACCGACTCAATGGACATGGGTTTGGGTGGACTCCGGGAGTTGGTGATGGACAGGGAGGCCTGGCGTGCTGCGGTTCATGGGGTCACAAAGAGTCGGACACGACTGAGTGACTGAACTGAACTGAACTGAAAGGAAACTGCCATATAAAAACAGTAGCTTCCCTATATGTGAAAAATAATCAGATAGGAAATCAAATGAGAAGGAAAACATTATACTCCTCAATATCAGCAAGAAAGTTAGCAACAAAACTTCAACTGAGAGATGTAAGAAGTCTTGAATAAGTTTAAACACATATTTTGTACTTTGCTAGAAAGATTCAATATTATAAGGTTTGATAACCTTATAACCTTGATAACCAGTATGTCCCAATTTAATCTATAAATACATTGCAACCCTGGTCAAGACACTAATGAGATTTGTGAGGGGAGGATAATGAATTATTATAATTTGCATTTAAAAAGACCAAAAACAGGAAGAGTTTGAAAAATCCTCAAAAAAAAAAATTCTGTGTACCAACCTTCACAGATAGTAATATGCATTTGAAAACTGCAAATTTAAGCAGCCAGGTACTGACTGAGAAATAAGTGGTAAAATTAGGAAGAGGGATTTTAGAAAGGCCAGGTGTAAACAAGCTACAGCTGGGATTTTAAATGTGGTAAAGGTGGCAATTTAAATCCATAAGGAAAAGATCAAAGATCAGACATTCAGAATTCCTACTTCTTCTTTTTCACCAGAATTATTTCCAGGTAAATCACAGATTTGAATGTGATAATGAATGCATAAAACTATTAGAAGAAAAGAAATGGAGAGCATTTTCATGTTCCTATTATTTTGAACTGGGCAGGGATTCTTAGCAAAACACAAAATCCAGAAGCCGAAGAAGGCAAGTTCAATCTATTTAACCACATATTTAGTAATATAAAATTTCAAACATTGTATCATCAATTAAGTAAAAAAATCTAGAGAAAATATACTGGATTAGGATATACTTTATAAAGTGAATGGTAGAGTTCCATATAAATTATCAGAAAAAAAGGGAGATAATTCACTAGAAAAATGAGCATAGGCTACAAATAGAGAGGTAAATAAATACACATAGCCAGCTAAATCTTACAAGACTCAATTTGTAATTAAAGAAATGCAAATTGAAGCCGTATTTAGAGAGTGGTTATTAACCTATCAAGGCCAGGGGCTGAGAACTAGGCTCTCTGCAATGGCCTCACTGATAGGATTATGAGAATGGGATCGTAAAATAGGATTATTATTCTCAAATGAAATTAACCCATCAGTTCCACTTCAGGGAATTTATTCTACAGATAAAATTCAAAAAGACATATAGACATGGATGTTCAGGCAGCAAAAATTTGAAAAAGCCTGAATGCTGAATGCATTATGCTGAATGTATCCACTCTCGTCTCTAGTGACTGTAAGTGGGAGGAGAAGCCGGGTTAACTGGCCTGCAAAGGCCCCCCAGTTCATGTCAGATAAAAATGCAAGCTTGTAGTGATACAATGGCTTGATCACGCACTTTTTCTCCAAAACGAATCGTGTGTGTGTGTTTAAGAAAATAAAATTTCTGGGACTCTACTTGAGATGTAAAATAATGAATAGTGATTAAATGTACAGGGTGGAACTGGAGTTGTCAAGACCTAAGGAGTCTTTCTTTTTTTTAAATTTTGGTTCACATTGACTTTTAACCAGGTCTGTATATTACTTTTATCATATAAAATAGTAATGAGTCAATTCTCAAACTGGAAGACAGAACTTTAAAAAGATAGATTTATGAAAGCCTCAAAGAAAAAAATGATCTTGGGAATGCCGTGTCTTTAATTAAAAGCATGCTTGCGCTCCCAACCCTTCAGCGTTTCCTGTTCAGCTCTGATTCTTATTTTCAAATGTCTTTCTTTATCTCTCTCTACCTTGAAGTGGACATTCTGCATGCTTCCTTCTGAGCACCCTGCAATAGATTATATTTCATTTCCTGATTCTCTTGAGATAGAGACCCCAGCCACAGAGCGGAAAGCGGCCCGGCGCGGAGGCCTGGGCCGGGACAGTCAGAGTGGCTCTGGCCTCCAGCCTCTGTGCCTTTCCAAGCTTATCAG